AGATATATATATGTATATACACATACATTGTTCTGATGCCAAGTGACTAAAACACTTGTATTATGGAAATTTGAAACAATTACGGTACCACAAACACCCGAGATGATACAGAAAAGTTCATTTTCTAATATTGATCCGACCGTGAATCGACCCGGCACCTCAGAGATGGCGACACCTTGAAGTCGACGTGAATAGAGATTACAGAAGCAAAGTCCAACAAAAAGTAAAAAAAAAAATAAGTCAAAACAAAAAAGGTTTGAATATTAAGTCTAAGAATAGATTGAAGAGAAACTTCCAAAATTCTCGAAAAACATTTGGAGCTACACAGATCCGTGGCATGACTGAAAACGGGGTACGAGTGCAAACATCGACGATGTTTGTATGTTTAAAAAAAATACGAAATATGGCGATGGCGTGGGTGTTGCGGCGGTCAGTTAATTTAAATGGTAAACGCGCGCTTAGAATGTGCCGGCACGCGCGCTCTCACGCCGGGACATTTTGCGGACATTCTATGTCATTCTTATAAATAGTGGTTTTAAAAGCCTGTTTTTTATTCTAACATATTATAACAAAAATCCTCAACCCTTGTTTAAGCGCGACAAAGTCAAAAACTAAAATATGCAAAAATCTAAAACCACGTAGAAGATTCATCACTGTTGTGACATAGGTCTACTCTATCGATGGAGTTGAAACAAATAGAAAATTATACAATAGATTCATTTTAACGACTGCAGATGCTGTCGTGACCTGAAACCTGAGATAATATATTTTTTTTGTCATGGGTAATGCTATAACCAATCCTACCAAAGTTGCAAGCTCCTTCACTGGAAGATAACATAATGTAGAACACTATTTCAAAGTCAGGGTTTTCAAAAATATAAATTTTAAAAGTTTTATGCAGCTAACAGACACACAATAATGCTAAACTACAGAAAATACAAATACATAATACAAATAAATACAAAATATCTTTTTCAGCAAATAACAAGGTCATAATATTTACATCTTAACATTAAGTCATAACCGCTACACATTGCACCAATTTTTGGCAAGCAGAATATATCAATTGATACATAAGTACAATGTCATAAGTACAATGTATGCTATATGGATCCTCCCTTACAAATATTTTAATAATAACATGAAATTTAACTCTGATAATGTGACACGAAAACGACACCGCATTAATTTTTATTTATAAATTTTATTGATTTAAATATTTGACAACATCACATACATTGCTTTAATTCCAAGATGAGTAGCTAACACCCCCGTATTATGCAGTATCTGAGACAACGAAAGTACCACAACATAGACCAGACATGATATAGGAAAGTCCAAACTATTCGGCGACAGAGATCGTATGACTATGAGATTTAACTCAAAGTTTCGGTTCCATTGAGTTAATATTATGAAAGGAAGACTTTTTCAGTCATTTACTACTTCGATGAGAAAAAGTTTGGGTTATTTTTTGAAGGTATATGATGAATAAAGAGAAAATTATTTAAGAATATTTAATAACGTATTTTTGACTCCACTTTATTAAGTCTTGATATGGTTACACAGATAAGTTTAATCATTGCGGATGAGTCGACGGGTGAAGTGCGTCATTAGCGGTTATCACTTCATTCCGGGTGAAAAAACTTCAACGGCACTCTCCCACCACGTGCGCTTAATGATTTATTAATTTTTACCTTCATAAATATGGTGCACGCCTTTATAATGAGCTGCGAGGTATGAGTGAAAGGAACTGTAACGTTCTTGATGAGTTAAGGTGATTTTCATGATTTAGGATTATGAATATTCTAAGTTTGTTGTATTTATATATATATATATTTATCTATGTTTACTCATTAGCTTATTCAAGTTTAGAAGCACTTTCAGTTTTCATGAATTTGCTGTTTCCGGACATTTCTTTATGAACTTTCATCGACTTCGAAAAATAAGGTTGGAAATCAACTCGAATACAATGTAAAGTATATTAAAAAATTATCGTAGGTCATCGGAGTTTCTAAGCTTAAGTTGTGTAATGTCTGTCATTCACAAAATAATTTGAAAGTAGACTTACTGGATTATCAATAGTATTTTTATATATATATTGAGTTGGCACAAAAGTAATGAGACACACTAGAAAAATCTATAACATTTCCTTTTTAAAATCAATTTTTTCGATAATATTCTAGAATGTTGTAGAACATTCTAGGTACTTCTGGTGTAGGGTATATAAAGCCGCGCTCGCGATTTGTTTAGTCAGTTTGAAGAAAAATGGACGAGCGACAAGTTCGAACACTATACTTATACGAGTACTTGTTAGGCCACAGTGCGCGGGCTGCGGCTGACAATATCAACAATGCATTAGGCGCCGGAAGTACAAGCCATGCGACGGTGTCCCGATGGTTTGACCGTTTTAAATCAGGAGACAGAAGCCTTGAAAGTCAGCCACGCTCAGGGCGACCACCCGCAGTGAATGATGACGATTTGCGCCGCGAACTGCAGTTGAATCCGGATGCTACCACTCGTGAATTAGCGGAAGCACTTAAATGCAGTCACCTCGCCGTGGAACACCATCTGCATGAGCTTGGTTATCGAAAAGTTTTGGCTCGGTGGGTTGCGCACATCCTTACAGACGCCAGTCGTGCAGTCCGTGTCGCTATCTGTCAGTCACTTTTGCTGCGACCCCCGACGTAAAGAGTTTTTGTCAGATCTGGTTACTGGAGATGAATCATGGATTTATTACGAGAACGATACACGTCGTGCTTTTTGGCTGCCTCGAGAAGAAACGCCACCAAATCAACCGAAGCAGGTCAAAAGAACCAACGAAAAATTCTGCTTTGCTGTTTCTGGGATGCGCAAGGCATACTGTTTTTTGAGCTTTTACACAATGAAACTATAAACGCCGACAAATATTCAACCCAGCTTACCAAATTATCTGCCGCTATCAAGAAAAACGACGAAGACGAGTCAATGTAGTTTTACTGCACGATAACGCTCGACCTCACGTCGCATCTGTGGTTCGCCGGCAGTTGGAGAACTTGGGCTGGGAGACGATACCCCACCCACCTTATTCCCCAGACCTCGCCCCATCAGACTATCATTTGTTTAGAGCCCTGAAACAGCATTTGCGGGGTAAACAATTTAATGATTTCTCTGACGTAGAGGCGGAGTTGAACAACTTTTTCGAGGCACAGCCATCAGAGTTCTGGGCAAAAGGCATCCAAACTTTGCCGGATCGTTGGCAAGAAGTCTTAGATACTAATGGTAATTACATCATTGACTAAACTTTTTTTATTGTAATAATAATAAAAAAGTAAAAACTTAAACCAAGTGTCTCATTACTTTTGTGCCAACCCGATATATATTCCAAGTGAGAGATGGATGATGAATAAAAGTTCCAAAAACCAATAATAAACGAAAACAAAAAAAGAAGTTTGTACGCTTACTATAAGAGTCTATATCAACCGCGTAACGTGTGTAAAAGTAAATTCAGGATGGGATCAGTCAGGATCAGTATTTCTTAAGATTACTACTTACAAACAAAAAAAGTTTGAAACGTTACCTCTATATTAGTGTAGATATAAAATTATTGAAAGTAGTTCATGAATCGCATAATACGGGTAATTGACACGTTTCTTAAAACTATTTTAAATGATTGTTTGATCTGTTATAAAGACACTGTCAATATATATTTCATGGGAATTTGTGGATTGCGAAAGATCATGGGTTCGAGTCCCATTTCAGAGTGCCGGGGACAAAATGGATATTTTAAACTTTTTGCATTAAGAATATTTAACATAACTTTGTTTAATATAACGATGATTTCATATAATAAACAGAAAATATCATTTTAAAACATATTTTTTAAAGAAATACTTATCAATGAATATAATTTTAAATAATAGAAAAATATATTTTACATAAAACTATTGTGGTATAATATTTTAGCATATAATACTCATTTAATTTAAACCCATGTTATTTAATAAAATTTAATATACCTATGTATTAATTTACATATTAAGATATAATATTCAATTCTTATAGTAGTCACTTCATATAACAATCAAATCTAATAAGATCATTAAAAATGATGAATATTTGAAATAATTAATAATTAAAAAAAAAAGAATCCAATTTGTTTACTACGTTTACTTCTTTTCCTCTAAAGGAATGTTCAATAGAAGTGAACTTTTGGTCATAATTCTAACTTAACCTTACCACAATTCTAACGAATGATGAGTTCCTGCTGTAAACATCAAATGTGGAATTTTAATTTACTTAAGCGGTTTTGCAACAAAAATTTCGAACCTAATGTGATCGAGTTCGATCTATCTTAAAAAGTGGAAAATTATAAAACTCGTATTAAATGATAGAGTGGGATATTTTTCCACCAGTTTAGTCATTGTAATAAAATAATATAAAATAAAGGTTATGCCAACTAATCGGTATATTAAATGAAGCTATGTAAGAATTATTTTTTATATTCATTGTGAGATATAATAATTGAACTTTATTTGAAAAACATAATATTATTTGAGTGATATATAATGTGATGGTTATATTAACAAAAATTAACGTATATGAACGTTAATACAAATTAAGTGTTATATGAATTGTTTATAGCCATTTAGAATATTATGTTAATTGATATTAATCTAAGTTAATATTATTTATACAAAGTGTTATTTAAAACGAAATTATGATGAAAGTCGTTATTACAAAGGTGATATTTTGTTTGTTTGTTAATTGCTTGTATTTGAGTTTTTATTCAATTAATTAAAATAAATGAGTTTCGAACTTTTCAAATTTCAGTTTTTTAATATGTTAGTTAAAAGGAACAAAAAACGACTATCTTTGATTAATTCGTTTCCTGCAAAAATCAACTTTTGTTAGAGTCGCCATCTAGTGGAGGTGCTTTTTCAGTGCTTTCTTTTTTAAAATACTCCCTCATTGTATTGTTGATCGAAGCTAGACAAAAAAGTTTATATTTGAGTTATTATAAGACAAACGGATATTTGACAATTAAAGAATCCTGCTGGGACTTTTTTAATTTGAGTCATACAAATCAAGACAAAAAATTACTTCTTATAAACATTTATTATAGTTTTGGTCAACTGTAGTGGTAGTTAATAAAAATAGATATATGAATAATTATTTTTCAGTAATAAATAAATCTGGATGATAGAATCATGATACCTTTGCTTGGTCATCGGGAAAAATTTAAAACTATTAAAATCAATCGCCAAATGTCAAAATACTGTGATGGATCTGTGAATTGTTTGTTTGTAAGGAAAACTCGTTAGAAAGTATTATAAAACCGATATATGGAAGAATTACATGCTGATAACACGCAGGACCGATCATTCTTTCAAGTGATTGCAAAGGATTTATTTGTCATGGTGGCATTATTCTTATAAGTGGTTAGCCTTGAAGTAGATGTCATCTATTATCTTAAATGAGTGTTGTTTATTTTACATTTTAGTGATATTAGTTGCTTTTTCACGATTATATGGCTTTGATATTTGACTTATGTTTTACGTCAATCCGGAAGAGGCATGTTTTACCCACGAATTCGGGAGAAAGGTGCAGGTTTAGTCATACTCAGCTGGACTTGTCTAGCTGTATTGTGCGCCGCATCCACGGCACCCTGCGACAAAACCCGCAGGGTATTTACTGATCAAAGTGGTATCATCACAGATGGACCTAGTAACTCTAACTATACACAGGTTAGTAGTACACCTACTAATGGGACTAATAAACTTTACGTATATTTATAAGTAAATATTAAGGACTGTATATCTTTCTAGGACTCGCACTGTGAATGGCTCATTAAAGCAGGAAACAAAAGTCAATTTATAACCCTTAGTTTCTTACGCATGGGGACAGAATGTTCCTATGATTATGTATTTGTTTATGATGGTGATTCATTTGATGCCCCATTATTAGGAAGTTTCAGTGGAAAGACTGAACCACAAAATGTAACTGCGTCAAGTGGTTTTGTGAGTGTGATAATATATATTTAATTAAAAATATTTTAATGTCAGGATTTTTTTTTCAACTATTTATATTATTTCAGATGCTAATTTTACTATATAGTGATACAAATTATGTATTAGATGGATTTCGTGCCACTTATGCTATACATGACTGTCCCAATAACTGCTCAGGTCAAGGAGAATGTGTTTCCAATAAGTGTTTCTGTTGGGGGAGATGGGGTGGTCCTGATTGTAGTATTGATCTTTGTCCCAGTGGATGTTCAGGAAATGGGCAATGCAAAGGAGACAGATGTATTTGCAGAAAAGGGTATTGTGAAACTTAATTATTATAATATTTTTATTTATGATTAGCTGACCAAACACATTCTGTCAATTCTAAACCAAACATCATAAGGTCACATTAAAAAAGTTCATATTATCCAAAGACTAAGGTTAGATATCTCCTGACAATAACAACACAACAAAAAAGAATTCTCAAAATTAGTTTCAATATTTTTTTTTACATTCATGTGTGATGGCATGACCAAGGGAAATAGCTGCCGAAGTTAATATAGAACTTAAGAAACAAAGTAATTTTATAGTTTCTTATTTCACTCTTGCACTTGTTTGGTGTATAAAAATTCTTGTAGTTCACATGTGCATCTGCAGAAATGAGCTCATAATTCCACACCATCCCTAACATAATGCTCAAAAGGATCTTATTAAGGATAATTGATTCAGTTTTATTCTATTTATTAACCTATTGGTTTGCATATATTTTTTTACTCTATTTGAAGTTGAAGCTTTTTTACCGATCCCCTATCACAATACATATAAATGCAATTAGTAAAGGAATATGGTATATTAAACTAGACAATACAACTAAAGCAAAAAATTGCAATTGAAAAATGTTTAATTTAAACAATAAACATTTACATATGAGAATTTAATGCAAAAAAAAACAAAGAAAAATGTACAAATATATTTCGAAATTATAGCAAAACGCTACAATGTCAATGTAAATAATTATTCAATTAAGGCTTGATTCAATCAGCCTGTTGGAATTATTTATATAAACATTGTTTTGAAGTTGACATTTTTATTTTATTTTCTTTGGAAAACATACAGTAACGATATAACTAATGTAATAACTAAATATGATATAAATGTACACAGTAAGCAGTTTTCGCATATAGACACTTATGTACTTATTAACATTAACAATATATATATATAACATGTTAACATTCCTAGTGTTGTGCTAATATTTTTTAATTAATAGATAATAATATAATAATTATAGAAATAGAAGTTTAACAAATATACATTTTAGGTTTTCTGGTGAATCTTGCTCATTAAAACACAATGATAAAAAAGGTAACAGTTGGCATTGGCTCTCTCGATCCGAAGGTGGAATGACTAGGAGAGCAGCCCATACAGCAGTGTATGTTAACCATACAGACTCTCTATATGTTTTTGGTGGATATGATCTGAACAAAGTCTTAGGCCTCTTAGAAGTGTATAGGTATGTCTTTATTTTTATCATAATATTATAATCAAATGCTCTGTTTTACTATTTAAGTTATATTATACATAAAGTTAATTACTATCTTTGTTAACAATAATATTTTAGACTTTATTAAAATAAAAAAGTATTTACTATTTCACTCATATTATTTAAAAAAACATATGAAACAATTATGAGTAAAGTACACTGAAGAATACTTGATGAAAAAAAACTAAAATTAATATTAATTATAAACTACCTATAAGTTCTTAGTGTCATTTTTTCATTCATAGTTAATTATTCAAATTTGCTCAGATTTTGATTCCTGCCATTAAGTCTAGAAGCATTTGAGTAAAAAACTAGAAATTAAATTCTACAGAGCGTTTATATTATTAATTTATCATAATTATAAATCAGGTTTTCTACTAGTCAATGGTATGATGAAAACGGACGGGTATTACGAAGATACCCAACAAATGAAGAAATGGATAAATCTTTACTAACTCTTTTCAAAAAGGTACTTACTTTGTTTATCTTCTTTATTTTTTCTCCCATAGAATATATGAAATAAATGTAACAATATATATTATAGGACAATTAAGATTAAATCCTAGACATTTGCTTAAATAAATTCTGTGGAGATTCTTGTGATTGGTAATTGTCTTGATAATTCATTCTGCATTAATGTTCGTAACAGGGCAATAATGATGGCAGCTGGCACGTCGGTAACGGAAGTTCATTGTTCACTTTAATCTTATCATCATTTTCAAATCCGGACAAAACAACGTTACCTCTCATGTACTCACATTCACCGACGCCATATTCAGAAAGCTACCTACAGTTCACTGACCGACCAGAATTGGTGACTTCTATGAAATCTAATTATTCTAAACCTGAACCAAGATATGGACACTCTTCTTGTGCCTATGGGAGCGGTTTCGTTCTTTATGGAGGGAAACTTTCGGACGGAAGTCTGTCATCAGAGCTGTGGCTTTATGACGCTAAAATAAACGTATGGAGTTTACGAGCACTCAATTCGACATTTGTTCCTCCTGGCCTAACTCGGCACACTCTCACTGCTGTCAATGATGAGCTGTATCTATTTGGGGGAAGTACCGTGGAAGGCGAATTCTCTTCGAAGTAGGAAGTTTTTATTTAAAGTGAAGTAGTTTATAGGCAAAATTACATAATAATTTTGTTTTTTAATTGTAGTATGTATAAAATAAAACTGAGTGATGCAAGCACAGAGTCTTGGGAAAAAGTATATGTGAGAGGTGGCAAGGAGTTGGACGTACGTGTCGTAGCACATACAGCGGTATACCATTCTCATTCCAATTCTATTTTAGTTTATGGCGGCGTAGTTGCCAGCGTCGCTAGGTAAGGGTAAAGAGTTACATATGTAAGTGATAATGTAATCTTAATTTCAGTATCATGATTATGATTATTTTCTTTTTATTGCAGATTTTCCAAATTATCTGATAGAATGTTTGCTTTTGATATAGACTACAAACATTGGAGTGAAATTCATTATCCTAGAGCTCATTTACGAGACACTTATGTACCTAGAGAAAGAGCATTCCATACATCTACTATAATTGGTAAGGAAGTAGTTTTCTTATTTCCTTTATTCTTTCAGAACATATATAAGTAAATTTTTATCAACAGTTTGATGATGAACTGTCAACTTGATGGTCAGTAATTAGATTTGATATTTCTAGGTAATTACCTCGTAGTGTTCGGAGGATATTCCCATCGTCATAATAGAGAAGAGATTTGTTACGATGGTCAGATGTACCTCTATCATTTGGGCTGTCACTCTTGGATACCTTTAGATGTTTTAGGCAAAATTCCCAAGTTCTATCCGAAGAAACAGGGCGTATTCGCTCATGCCGCCGCTTTAAAACCACCATCAACTCTATTGATTGCTGGAGGATATCATGGAAACGTCAATGGTAATGACATTTAACTTACAGTGATTGGTTCAGGTTAATAATTTAAATTTTGGCACAGTAAAGTACCTATTGAATTTGTATTACGATAAATAAAATGTTTGCCTAAGCACGCCTGTCTGAGGCAAAGTCCCCAGAAGACTCATAGTGTTGTTTTTATGAATAGGCAAATTCGTTTAACACAATAACCACCTATCGGTCTTTAAACATAGATATTATGTACATATGTGTAACTTATTTAACGACCTCCGTAGCCGAGTGGTTCGCACGCCGGTTTCAAGGTGTCGCCATCTCTGAGGTCCCGGGTTCGATTCCCGGTCGGGTCAATGTAGAAATTGAACTTTTCTATATTGACTCGGGTCTGGGTGTTGTGGTACCTTCGTTGTCTCAGATACTCCATAATACGGGGGCTTTAGCCACTCATCTTGGAATCTGAGCAATGTATGTGATGTTGTTAAATATTTATTTATATTTATTTATTCAAATTGAATTCAAATAAAAAATTTCAATTTTAGGAGATTTGTTAGCATACGTTGTACCAAGCTGGCAGGCCGGTATTAGTAATGATAACCCAGAGTCCGCGTGTCCGAAACATCACACACAACCAGAATGCCTTGCAGATCCAGAATGTGGTTGGTGTTCTGCCGATGACGTAAGTTTGTTAGAAAACACCGAAATAATAGTGATTAAATTATATTCGACTTTTTTTTAAATTTATGAATTTCAAATAACTTGTGAATTCTTTTTGTGCTACGTAATGATACGAAAATAGATCTATATATAAAACTGTTATATGTTTTTCAATTAGCTTACGACGTATGAGTTGTTTACGTTATGTATTCTAAGTATATCTCTCATTAGAAGCAGGTGTTAATATATTGAACACGATTCGAATCCCACATCATTACAACAGTCATTACTGTTTGGTATATTGTAAAATTGTCTCCAAAAAGTTTTAAAAAGATGACATTTTCGTTTTTAAATTTAGCATATGATTAGGTTGTATAAGTAGCTATTTAAAAATCACTTTCATTTTCATTCCTAATTTTTTTAAGGTTATAATTTTAAGAAGTGGGTCAACTAGAACTACAAACAGTGTCATTGTACTGGAGGCCAAGTAGAAATACTATAAAGCATTAAGGTTAAAGTGTAGCATTGCCTTTTAATACAATTACAACCTTGTAGATTTGCTACGGAAGAACAATAGGATCAAACTGCACAACAAATCTGCAATCGATTCGGTGCGGTGGTATTTGTCCGGCGCTCGGGGATTGTCGCTCTTGTTTGATCCACGGCCCGCCGACCAGTGAGAACAGCACTCGCTCACTATTGCCTTCTGTTAGTACCAAGTTGGGTCTTTACAAATGTAGTTGGTGCGTACAGAATGCCCGGTGTCATCATAAAGACGGTAAATATATCTTTGAACATTTTATGTTATGTTAGCTAATGATATCATATAAAATTTTCGCTAAATATGTTCCTCTCTTTGCCGTTTTAGATAATTACGGTGTTTGTGGGGAAGACACTCCATCGGAGAACCCTGGTTGGTGGGGTACAACTGGTACAGAGGTGACCACGCCCGAGGAATGTAAAATTCTAGATAAACGACCAGGTCTAACATTTCTCAGATATCAACAGCCCGCAGATTGGAATCACCCAGACGCCGTGTCGGTAGTGAATGCTACTACGGTAGACTGGGGAACGGGAGGCGGTAGCAATCATATCTTTAGTGGTTCCAGTGAAGCACGATTAAAGGGATGGTTACACATACCTCAGTATTGGAACGGAACGGGAGAATTATTACATATCTGTGCGGGCTATTCAAATATCTCGCTGGCTTTAGGAGATAATACGGACTCTGTGGCAAACTTAACAGCTCAACCATCCGCATGTTCTCTCGTTGACTGGCCGGCGTTGTTCCCCGGTCGTTTATTAGTTGACATGCACGCCAATGATTCTTTACATACGGGTCTCTATCCATCGCATCATCATGCCAAAATGGAATTATTACATAATAAATCTCAAGAAAGTGCTAAGGTAGTATTTTTTTTATTACTTTTATATCATTGCATTTAAATATTTATATCATATTTTCGTAATGATTACAGGTCTTTACATTTGAATTTTTGGAACCATATTCAAATGGTGAATGCTCAAACTACGGAAACTGTTTGTTGTGTCTATCAGATGCTGCATGTGGTTGGTGTGAATTGACAAACCGTTGTGAACTAAGAAACTCAGATGAAAAGGTAATATGTTCGGCAGACGGGGAATGGAGATATCTCACGTTGCAACCGGCAGCTTGTCCGAACTGCTCCAATTATATAAGTTGTGAACGGTGTGTTGCTGGCAACTTTTGTGAATGGTGGGCAGACGAAGCCAGGTGTGCTCGACGAGGTCGAGCTAGTGGTGCCATTGTAGATGTAAGTGAATGCCCGGCTCCTTGTCGTATGCGTTTAGATTGCGAGAACTGCCTTGACGAACGTGGGCGATGTGTATGGTGTGAGGCCACAAGACAGTGCTTCAGCTTTAGTGTTTACACCAGCGAATATCAATTTGGTCTTTGTCGTGAATGGCTTGATCGCGCTTCTTCGCCTACTGATGACGCCGCCCGTAAATCAGGTCAATGCAAATCATGTCAAGCTCACATACAATGCTCAACTTGTCTGAGAAGTATGGGTTGCGGGTGGTGTCACTCACACGAAAACCCGATCAATGGTATTTGTACAGAAGGTGATTTTACGCGTGCCCATGTTGATTGTGCATCACTTTTGAACGTGACTTCAAGTGATGCTGGTTGGGCGTATGCTCAATGTCCAGATGTCGACGAGTGTGGACTCGGACTTCACGACTGTCATGAACATGCTGTATGTAACAACACTCACGGTTCATATACTTGTAAATGTAAACAGGGCTACATTGGAGATGGCAAGAAAAGTTGTACGAGAACATGCTACAATAATTGTATCCATGGATACTGCCTTGGAGCTCCACAATACAAATGTCATTGTGATCTTGGGTGGACAGGTGCAGATTGCTCAATTAATTGCGGGTGCCATAATCATTCAACTTGTAAAAATGGTGTAGGTAGATGTGACGAGTGCCAAGATTGGACGGAGGGAGAGTTTTGCGAATCTTGTAAGCCCGGAAGCCACGGTAATGCTACCACCGGTCAAGGTTGCCGGCGCTGTGATTGCAATGATCATGGTGATGAAACACGCGGTGTTTGTGATGTTGCAACTGGCGAATGCATTTGCAAGGACAACACTGAAGGTCAAAATTGTGAACGATGCAAGCCTAAATTTTATGGGGATCCGAGACACGGAGGCCGATGTTATTATCAATGTGAGCCTCGAGGAATGTTAAATGCATCACAAACTGAAGGCATAGGCTCTTATAAGAGTGACCCTGATATTAAAACCGTGGGACCTTCAAAGGAATGCTTATGGATTATATCAGCTGATGATATAAAAGATGCTCTCATTCAATTCACTATAAACTCTTCTACTTCTGATGTGCCATGTGATGAAAATGCAGTGTATGTATATGATGGCTTAGGTGGTGTACCTGATATGAGTAATAATCAGCAGAGTCAGCTTCTTGGTGTGTTTTGTAATGGAGCATCCTCTGGAGTAGTAGAAGCCCGGAGTGGAAATCTCACTGTACACTATAAACAAGGCCAAGATGAACAAGGTTTTGAGGGAGTATATAAAGTGTTAGCATGTGACGGTCATTGCCCGTGGCCAAGAATATGTAATAAAAGACATTGTGTATGTAGAGAAGGATTTGGGGGGCCTGATTGTGACGTCGAAATATGTAAGAATAATTGTAGTATCACACTTAATGCTGGGGTTTGCGATACTAGTTATGGTCGGTGTCTCTGCAACGAAGATTATGGTGGAGATGACTGTTCTATAAAACTGGATAAAACTCAATTAGTTTTCACGGAACTTTTTAACTCTGAGTATTTAACGGAAGGATTAGATCATCTCAGGAAAACGTTGCCAAGATTTGGACACAGTTTGGTTGCAGATAGAAGGGGATTGTGGATGTTCGGTGGCTATTCACTGTCTCACGGACCCTTGAATGATATTAGATTTTTTGATACGAAAAACAATACTTGGATGCAAGTAACCGTAGAAGCTACACCGGATGCAAAAATGCCAGAGGGACGCTATTTTCATGGAGCAGAAATTTATCATTCTAAGCAAAATATTTATATTTACGGTGGACTTAGTTTACAAGAAAAGAGTGCACAAAATAAAACACTTGATGATTTCTGGCAATTCAGTTTGAAAGATCAGAGGTGGGGCATAATCAAAAGTAAAGAGGAACAACCACCACCACTCGCAGGACATACACTAACTTTGCAAAAATATCAGGATTACGAAAGTTTGGTTTTGATCGGTGGTTTTTCTATGGAAAATGGTTTTATGGCTGACATATGGGAATTCGATCTAGACAACGATAAATGGATAAAACTGAATTGTGGAGGTACTAAACCCGCTGGTATAATTGGACATAGTACTGTTTATCATGCTCCCTCGCAAAGCTTATACATATATGGTGGAATTTTGTATATATATAATGGCACATTAATGTCAAATAAACTATTCTCCTTCCACTACCCGACCAAAAAATGGAGCGAACTCCCAAACTTTCCGAATCTCAATCATTATGATCGATTACCTCAAGCGTCTTATCTACATTCTGCTATCACTACAAATGAATACATGATTGTTTTTGGAGGTCGAACAGAACCAGACAACAGATCTGACAATTTAATAGCTTATGTGTACAGTTGCAATCAATGGGTTAGACTTGTCAAAGGTAATTAGATCATAATATGTAAATATATATATTGACATAATATAAGACGATGATAATGTTAAAACTTCTTTTGTTTTTAGGAGTTAGTATTGTTGGTAATCCGCCTCCGCCGACTATAGCCCACGCAATGGCTATTGATATGGAATCTGAAAACGAAGGTTATATATACATAATAGGTGGTTGGACAGGCAGTGCACATTGCCAAGTTACGCGAATATCTCTTCCCGAAGACCTCTGCTCCCTTTGGAGTACAAGTAAATTGGAATGTCGTAGTCACATGGGTTGTAGTTTTTGTAGCACAGGCAATTATACAAAATGCTATTCCGTTGATAAACCCGGTTGCGAAGGAAGTGACCGAGTATCTACTAATTCAGGTGCTGCATGTGACGCAGAACTTGTTTCGAGAAGATCGTGTGAGAATTTTACTACTTGTTCTTCGTGTTTAGCAGCTTGGCCTTTATATCCTGAAGAGAAACCGGCGTGTCGCTGGTGCGAATCTTGCGCTGCCGCTGTTGGTTCGTATTATTATGTCGTTCGAAAATAATATTTTGATTAAATGTTTTTGAGTAAATATAATACTATATTTTAGGTGAATGCGTACCTACTGATGAATCTTGTACAAGTATCAAATGTAACGCTGGTACTACGTACATAAGCGACGTGGATCAGTGCCCCGAATTGAGGTGTCTTGCGTCCGATTGCGACAGATGTGTTTCGAATAAATGTACTTGGACTCGTCAAGCTAGTAGAGAAGGTAAATATTGACGAAACACATATTGAATAATACCACCATTAAAAAAAGTATTAATGACTCATTTGTATATCTACAGGAAATACTTGATGTTTCTAGATAAGGCGATATGGTTTTATTGTCTTATTATAACAACATTATATTTGTTTTTAGGACAGCTCACGAGAATATCGGAGGATCCTTCAGAATTATTCAATTGGACATGCACATTGATTGAAGAACAAGGGCGTACCAGTTTGCGGCCCACCACGAGAGAGGAATGTCCAAGTAAATGTCATACGTACAACGATTGTCAGTCGTGTCTTAGTTCCGACGGAGCCGAGGGTGGTTACTCGGAATGCCATTGGGCTACATATCTTGGTAAATGTATATCGCCAGCATATCAACCCGTGTACTGTGCCGGGGGCGTATGTGGTCTCGTATTGACGAAAGCGGATAAGACTAAGTGTCCCGCCCCGTGTGGAACATTCGAACAGTGTTCAGAATGTTTGCATCATTCTCATTGTGGTTGGTGTGCGATAGAAGATGAGAACGGCGCAGGAGTTTGTACAGAAGGATCTATAGATACGCCCCTTGATTACTCGACGCGGACAACTTGCGCGGCAGTTTACAACAATATGCATCAGTTGAATGAAACCAACAACACTTTCTCGTGGCATTACACGCGATGTCCGCCGGAGAATGAGTGCGAAAATAATCATCACCAGTGCAAAGCTGAATCTGAGGTGAGACTTTTAAATTAGAAAATTACAATTTAGTTATTAAATAAACATCCTTTATTTCTACAATAATATCAAATGCATATCTTTAATTATTATTGGGAGCCTGTTTGAATAAAATTATTACTAACCTCTAAATATGCCTGTTTGTAGATATTAGAGGTACGAAATTCTGATTTGGTACAAATAAAATTTACACTAATTTCTGTGAGTTAATTTTTTACAATCAGACACCAAAATATTTATACCTACACTTTTTTCTTAAAAGGGTCCAAATACTATATTTTCCAGAATGTACCATAAAGTAATTTATATGAAAAAAATGTGTCATAAAGGTTTATAGTTAAAGTTATATTGACCTTTCATAATTCGGTAACATTAGCAGAATTGGGCTACTATAGATATTTGTTTATTGAGATGTGACATAACGGCTCGAAATGTCACCTGGCTGATTGTTTTCACGGGACGTTTTTAATAAGGAATAAAACAAGTATTTTTTTTATTTAATAATACTTTTTGAAGAAAACTACATCTGATAGTGGTTTAAAATAATCATATGAAAGTTTTAAAATACTTTACCCAAAACAGTCCAATACTAACGTTTTGTGTAAATAATTATTTTGTCGTTTTGTGTAGGTATGTCGCGATTTACCAGAAGGTTACGAATGCGCATGCGGCGCGGGCCATAAACGTGCCCCCGGCGGCGGCTGCGCAGCTGTATGCTCGCAGGGCTGCGTGCGCGGTGTCTGCGTACAACCGGACGTGTGTAGGTGCGACTTCGGATATGTCGGCGCCAACTGTACAATACAGTGTCAGTGCAATGGCCACTCGCACTGTGAGGGACCGGACAAACTCGACAAATGTATCGAATGTCACAATAACACGATGGTGAGTATAGGGGTAGACAACTTTTTATGTTTTTATTTTATATAATCATGAAATATATTTAAAAAAAAATCTTTGACAAAATTATCAGTCATATAATATGTTAAAATATAAAAATAATTTTAATTTTAATATCTCGCGAAAACGCCAACTTCTGTCGCTATAACGTCACGCTCCTAAAACTGTTTAGGTTACATTCTCTAAGTTCTAATATGAGTAAGAAGGGCGTGACTTCATGTGCTGTTTGCGGTTATGTGACAACGAATGTAAAATATTTATTATTGCATAATTAATTTAAGCAATATATTAAATATAATAAGCATAAAAGTGTGATTGTCGGTAAAAGTATACCTACCTACTACCAGAAAAAAATGTATTTTCATTTACTGTCTACATTATTTACAGTTGGCTTTTAGTATTGTGTAATAATTTCGATGAAAACTGAAGTAATAACTTCCCGCCAAAATTACCACAGACCAAAGAACATGTGTTCCACACAAAAGAACTGTACTGCGATCCACAATTCGAATTTACTTCAAAAGCAGCATACGCTCAACCTTGAATTGGTGATAAAGTTTCGTAGCACATGACGTGGATTCGGACATACGAGTGAATTCGAATTTGGATTCAGATTTTTACAGAATCGCTCTACTGATGTCACTAAATTCCGGTTCGCCCAGTTTAATAGGGAATAAATGAATATCTCTGGTTCGCCACCACTGTTACCAAAATCATAATATTCTTTATTCAAAGAAATCTTCTAAAAACGTACGTTTTTGAGTATTTTTTCTATTATGTAACATTCAATGGTCGTATAATGTTGCTCGTATAGGGTAATCAATGCGAGAAATGCAAGCCGAACTTCGTCGGCGATCCAACAAACAATGGTCAGTGTGTGCCTTGCTCGATGTTCTGTCACGGGCATACGTCGATATGTACCAGCGAGCCGGCAGACTCGAAAGACGCGAGTGTACCCGACCCGGAGGACTTCTACAGAGACCCAGCGGCAGCGAAGGCGCGATGCGTGCGATGCGCTAATAACACAGATGGCCCGCGTTGTGAGAGGTGTATAGAAGGATACTTCAGAGGCTCCGAAGACTTCCGAGATCCGTGTAGACCGTGAGTTTTTAGCACTTTTAGCGGTTAAGTACAGTAGGACTTATTGGGCGACAGTAACGTATTTGTAATTGACTTGTATTCAACTTGTTGTTATAAGTAAGTCAAATATAGCAAGCTCGGTTGGCTTAACTAATTGTGCTCTTGCTAGCAGCTTGAGTAAATGCGGACGCAAATTTGTTCGTGAGTTATTTATGTGCCTTATCATTTATCGATCAGCATCGATAGCCGAGTTCTGCGCACGCCGATTTCAATGTGTCGCCTTCTCTGATGTCTCGATTCCCGTTCAGGTAAATGTAGAAAATGAACTAAAATGGACTATTCTATATTGTCTCGGGTTTGGGTGTTGTGGTACCTTCGTTGTCTCAGATATTCTATGCTATACTCATTTTGGAACCTGAGCAATGTACATATGTATGTTTTTCTAATATTTATATGTATTTCGACCAACTAACACCAACTTTCGGCATTAGGCGTTAAGTCGACTTCAATAAAAAATAATAAAACTAATGCATTTTAGTTCTGACAATATCATCAAGACAATTTATTGAGAATTCATGAGAAATATAGCCAATTAAATGTCATCTGGGACTAACACAATTTTTAGTAGCGTAAATGAACAAAAATATGAAAAACATAAAAATGTTGATTTATTGGAATCAAAATTGTAGCATATTAATTTTAATATCGTCTAGTTTAAGGAAAAGCCTCGATCGTTTAACTTTTTTATATTTTATTTGACCGATAATAACAATTTACCTAATAAAGTACTTTGTGAATTTACCTTTTGACAATGACTAAAGTTGATATTCAAATAGTTTTTAAATTCTTTGACAAATAAAAATATTGTTTTATTAATAAGTATTATATAAAATAAGTATTTTTGTAGTGTACGATAAATAACCTGAACACGAATTTGATTTAAAAAAAAAACGGATTAAGGACGTAACTGTTTTTGGAACGTTACGTAATAAATGTTTATCTTTTTTATTATTTGCATAATAATAATAATTTATTTTGTGGTACTTAAGAAACGCTATTATTTAAAAAGATGGCACCTTTTTGATCAAATTATATAATTTCTTTCGTATTATGTCGATTACATACAACGTTACGTTCTATCCTCTTTTTGAAGTGTCGAAAGGGACTTATTTTGTGAAGACTATATTACTTCTATAATGCACAGCAACCCACCATACACTCTTAGAGGAATAACCAGGGTGTTCAAATAACGTAAATGTAACCCAGTCAAAATAAACTGTATAGTAAAACTATATATGACAACAGGTGCGAGTGTCACGGTCATGGCGACACTTGTGACCCAGTGACCGGCGAGAAGTGTAACTGTGGCAATAACACCGAAAGCGATGCCTCCTGTCAGACGGCAAGCTCTAGCAAGAATTCAGCGCAAGAATGTTGGCGATATCAATGTGTTAAATGCCGGGATCTGTATATGGGTGATCCGCGCAACGGCCACCAGTGCTATAAGACAATCAACATAGAGAACAAGCTATGCTTCGACGGGAAGTCTATCGGTAAGAACATTTTTGTTTGTTCTAGCAGTAATGAGGAAGTATTAAAAAAAAGAAAAAACTAAAAAGCCCCTCTACTAGATGGCGACTCTAGAAAAAGTTGATTTATGCAGGAAACGAATGGACCAAAGACAGTTATTTCCGTTCCTTTTAAATAACATATTAAAAAACTGAAATATGAAAAGTTCGAAACTTAGATATCAATACAAATAGAATATGAGTTGTTTGTTGAGTTTGAAAACTAATTTACTTTTAAACATGAAAGAAAACCGGAAGGGTTGTCATGGAGAAATCAAGAACGTACCGTAGCGACATCTAGTTTGATTTCGGAAACAAATGTTCTTTTTAATACTTCCTCATTATTACTGAGCCATCCTTATATCACAGACAAATCAGTTAAATTTCCCTGATCGATTTTAACACTTAGTGCATTGTACGGGTCAGAATCGGTTGCTGATAGACATTTTACACAGATTTTGTTTATGTGACTCAAAATAGAGGTGTATGTTGATTTAATTTTACACCAATACGTGTTAAATATTCCAATAATTCACTGATATGTTTATTTCATATCTCGATTAGACAAGGATGAAAATATACCAACTTAAGACAACAAAAAGTGACATAACCTATCAGACCGTAAGCATTGCACGGTAGGAACAAAGACAGAATGCATCTTCACTTCAAATTCCATTACCTATTATTATAAATTACTGTAATATAATAGCTATCCATTATTAGGTAATTTTTTTTACAGATAAAAATAATAAGAAATAACTTAAATGCTTTCAATCTTACCAGTAAGTTATATATATATATATATATATATATATATATATATATATAATTATTTTATATTTCCAGACGAATGCAAGATCAAGCCACGCCCATTATATCCGGGGCAGACTGTGTTCGTAGCAGTGAATCCAAGATACGTGAACGTTGACATACGAATCATCGTGGACGTCACTCAAGGCGCAGTCGATTTATATTTGAGTCCAAATGACAGTTCATTTGTTGTATCAGTAAACGGTACCAACGGTGCTCACGCTGTAGAATTAGATCCAACTTATTATAAACATGAACCGTTCCGGAAGATGCCTTCGTTTGACGATCACATTCCAGATAAACCTCGGGTGACATGGTGGTACGATAAAATTGAATATACACTAGCCGATTACAAAGCGAAAGATCTCGCAAGTTATATCATTGTAGACAGGAAGAATATCCTGTTAAGAGTACGAAACTTGAGGAATCGGTTGGTGCTGACTCTCCCTCATGAGTTATATGATCTGATGCAAACTAAGTTTTATTTAATTATCAAAGCGAAGAATACTGATGATGGAGCGGCGAGTTTCGGCGTGATATTCTTCAGACAGGACCAGCTTCATATCGACCTGTTCGTGTTCTTCTCTGTTTTCTTCTCGTGTTTCTTCTTGTTCTTGGCGGCGTGTGTCGTCGCGTGGAAAGCGAAACAAGCGGCTGATATTCGAAGGGCAAGGAGACGACACGTGGTTGAGGTGAGATTGTTTTTTTTTAAATACCTTTATCTACATCTTCACGCACTTAACGAGTTATTATATTTGATTACAAATAGCGAATCAACTTGGAATTTTAAGAATGATTTTTTTTCGTTAGCGAATGTTTGTACCGCAACAGATATCAGAGAGAATCTGAAGTTGTGAAAGTTCTAAAGTTCTCCTCCTCCTATTCCGTTTATATCTATTGAGGATTTTTCTAATTTTTTTCTTTTATTTCCTTTAGCTCCTTTTGAACACATTTATATGAAACTCGTTCTTTAACCGTATTATATTTTGATGATTGTTGGCTCTCTCTTGACACTGGCGCCTCGAACAAATGCTCCTACTAGCCTTCCATTCTCCCCTTTCTCCTACTACACCTCGGATTCAGCAGAGTCCACAGGATCATACATAAATAAACCTTCATCTCGAATCACTCTTGATGAAAATCATATCAACATAGGATCTCAATGAACAGACAGCGGGAAGCGGCTTTGTTTTATTAAGAATAAACGATTTTATTTTTTAATTTAGATGCTTCACATGGCAAAACGACCATTTGCTTCGGTGACTGTGGTAGTGGGCAGTGCGGGGCGTCGAAGAAGAGCGCCTGATTTACGACCAGTAGCCATCGAACCGACCGGCGACGGACGGGCGGCTGTCACTACTGTCCTTGTACGGTAAGTACTATCATTTATAAAATAATAATAATTCTTCTATTTTTCTATAGTTTTTTTTTATTTTTTTATACTCTTTGCTTTTATAGCTATTGCACTTTTTAGGGTTTCGTACCTAAAGGGCAAAACGGGATCCTATTACTAAAACTTGCTGTCCGTTCGACTGTCACCAGGCTCTATCTCATGAAATGTGACAGTTAGACATAAATTTTCTGAGATGATGTATTTTTGCTGTCGCTAAAGATATGGCACGGAACCTTTGTGCGTGAGTACGACTCGCTAGGCTGGTTTTTGTCAATAAAAATTTAATGTAAAATGATACTTTCCAGCTCAGCGATTCTTCGTGCCCGCAATCAGTACAAATATGCTTTTCGAAGTACTAATATAAACTATGCGAACCAAATAGAATAGAATCTGGTTAGCTTAGCTGTCACTTCAGTAATGACAGCAAAAAAAAATCCTCTTTATCAGAGAGGTAGACTTTCTCAAAAATCAATAAAATATATTTTATAACATCGACTGTTGGTCTATTTTTTATTACTAGATATGAAGTTGACGTGTTTGTCATAAAGTTAACGCTGGAAACCCTAAATGCGTCAATATTGAATGACTTCGGGTTCAATTACAAATGTCACTGTGCCGTAATCCTTTATATGATAAAACGCGAATGCGTTGATTTATAAAAAATATTTTTTTTGTACAACTTACACGCTGAAGTTGAAGGCTGTTTGACACCTTATCAGAATTATGGCAATTCTGTTTCATTTTGGCCATCTAGGAATGCAGACTGTTGAGATGGGATCCACGTTAACCTCTCTGTTTTATTTTTTTTAATATTTTTTTGCTTGTACACTGAACAGCACGTCAGACTGTATTAAACTGTCAAATTTTCCCCCACTCAATTTTAAACCTTAATACATTGAAGGTGGACATTTGACACAGAAAGAAACTTGACATACTGTGGTAACATGACGTGCAGCTGTATGTACATACTACATAAATGTATGGTCAATAAATATTTTTACTACCTTTCTTTCGATGACCTCTGTAGTAGAGTGGTTCGTACGTCGGTCACAAGTCGCCATCTACGAGGTCCCTGGTTCGATAACCGGACGGATCAATGTAGAATATGAACTTGTCTCGGGTCTGGGTGTTGTGGTAACTTCGTTATCTCAGATGCTTCATAATATTGGAACTTTAGCCGCTTATCATGGAATCTGACCAATGTATGTGATGTTGTCTCGTATTTATTTATTCTATTCTTATTTGGTTCGTATTATAATATAATGAAATGTTATGGTTAGGTTGCCGGGTGGTTCTCGCGCGCCGGTACGTCTAGCTCTCGCTTCGTCTCTAGTGTTAGTGTCGCGAGCGCCGCTGCCACGCCCTCGTCATCAACCCAGACCAAGACGAGGCTTATACACCTAATTCACAGATCAATTACACATAAATAAAGTGTCATTGTTGCAACAGGGATGATGCCTGGGTAAATAAGAAAGAAAATCTTTTCAGCCAGTCAGTCGGGGAATAGAAAAATATTAGATATGTTTTTTTTTAATTCAATTAAACAAGGAGTAACTCTTTAAAGTGTGACGTCATGTGACATATTAACCAATGTATCGCAGTAATTTAATGATTGCGGAAAAAAATACGTGTTTACTATTTTTCAACAATCTACCTGACGGACAAACATAAAATGTTTAGCGATCATCCCTATTCACCTCGGCGATGTATTAAAATGAAAATAATTTGCCTGTTCGTAACAAAGTTACGACAACTAATCATATTATCGCACAGATTAGAATATAACCGTGGTACTGGTTACTCGTGATTCTTAATTTGTACATCTGCCTTCAGAGGAAGTCACGTCGCAAATCAAAATCATCTATTCAATCTAAGTTTATGTAAGTGCTGCACTCATTAAATGCTACCACTTGCAGCGATTCAAATAAGCTAATATAACTCTTATTAGCAGAGTTAATAATACATCATGCGCTTAAGAAAAGTGTGAACGTCAAGGTAGCAGGCACACCAACGAGTTTAAGGGTCTTATGTATGTCAATAAATTGTGAGTAAATAGTGATTCGTAGGATATAATTAGTGACACTGTAAATCAAGAGATATTGGAAGATCTTAGTGTGCCTGCTAACTAGACGTCTTGGTAGCAGGCACACTAGAAATACGATTCGCATCAGTTTGAATTACATGTCAAAAAATTGTGACTAATTCCATTCTTTCATTTCACTCATTTCAATAGAATTCGAAATATTTCTGATTATTGGTGTGCCTGCTAACTTGACATTTAAATCAACGAAGTTACAAACAAACGGGTAGAATTTGAAAATACACAAAACAATTGTGGCTGAAATTGTGATCTCGTGATACATACATAAACCTAGAGATTTCTTCATTACTCTTTAAATCTAAAAAAAATCGATGAATTTAAACTTTATTGTGTTGCAATAAGGTATTTTTAGTTATGTGGTGAGTACAATCGAGTAAAGAAGTGTTATTGGAAAGCAGTCCTAATTTTCATGTATGACAATTTTTAGAACTATTACAGATTTTATAATAGTTTTGAAAATAGTTATAAATCAGTCACAATTACGTAATATAAAAGGTTAATTTCTTTAACGGGAGGAACCGCAACTAAGTCACTAATTAATCTCAATTTTTGACATATAATTCAAACTAATACAAATGGTATTTTTAGTCTGTCTACTACCTAGACGTCTAGTTAGCAGACACTTTAGGATCTTCCAATATTTCTTGATTTCCAGTGTCACTAATTATATGCTACTGATCACTATTTGTCACTATATACTCACAATTTATTGACATAAATAAAACCTTCAAACTCGTTGGTGTGTCTGTGTGTGCCTGCTACCTTGATGTTCACAATAAAGTATGGTATGTAGAAAAAACGAATAAAACTGTCAAATAATGAAAAGAAAACCTAATTCTATATC